TTTTGTTGCCTACGCTCATGCTTTTGACAGTTAAATACGCGAAATTCGAAGTTCATGGCGAAGATATAAAACTCCTTATATTATTATATGATTTATTGCAATGTTATTAGATACAAAGCTTATGATTTTTCGGAGTTCATGGCGAAGATGTAAAACTCCTTTTTGCTGGTGCTTCTCTTCGTTTCAATAATCCGACCACTGCGACTAAATTTCACACAACTCTCACAGCTGCCTTTCATCGGGGAATGTAGGTTGATAATGGCGCTCAATATTTAGCTTAAGAGCTAGCGATTACTGCTACAAAGTATGGTGTTCATAAACCGAACACAGATATTATTACAGCCGCGAACATTAGATAGGAAAGCGAAATCCTAAAGCGAAATGTAATATGATGAAAACATTTATAGAATACATGAACTACTGGGGGAGGGCAAAAAAGCTTGTGATGGTTTTGTAAACACAAGTCTTTTTTCAGGCATTTTACTTGATTTCCAAAACTTAAATTTTGCTTCTTGCTTGGATAGGTATTGCCAGCGAGCATTATGGGATTTATTCTGGCAATCAGGTCCAGACGCTCCCCGATTCTGGTGAGAATGATAACGAATTTATACGTTATTAGATTAAAGGGCGTAAGTTTTAAAAGAAACTGTGGTGCTGCGTCGGTGGGAGAGTGTAGCAGGTAATTTAGTGTTAACAATTAGGTTGAAAACGTAAACTGGCCACCATAAAGAGTAAAAGAGCTGACATTTCGAGCGTTAGCCCTTCGTCAGAGCAATTGAAGGAATTGTGGGTTGTGTGTGGGTTTACGGTGACCAATTTACGTTTTCAACCTAGTTGTTAACAATAAATTACCAGTTATTAGATTAGTGATGCTTAAAAAAAATAAAATCTTACTTAATTCTGCGTGACATTTAAAACAGTATCGTAAAAAAGGTTGTGGTATGAAAGTGACCTCGAAGCGACATTTTCTGATAGTAAAATCTACAGTTGCGAACTGGCCCTCTGGGGGAGTCCATTTAGACTTTCGAATCTGAAGTGTTTCGAAAGTATCTTTGTTGGAGGTGTTAGAATCATCCTCTTTGTCATGAAAAAAGGCTTTCAACTGAACGCGGCGAAACACTTCAGGTTCGAAAGTCTAAATGGACTTTCCCAGAGGGCAAGTTTTTTATCAAAAAATGTCGCCACGATATCAACAAACTTAAATTCAATCGTAACACCAAATTTTCCAATCTTAGTGACAGAGGTCACTCAAGCGGCCGACAAAGGCGGCGTAGCTGTTGTTTGGCGGGCCGACCTCTGCCAAAAAGAATCCATTAAGATCATTGATCACTTTTCGAGCACCTCCGCCAATGTCATTTACTGCATAACTTGCACTTATTGCAATAAGTTATACATTGGTGAAACACGAAGACGACTAGGTGGCCGATTCCGAGAACACCTACGCGACGTGGAAGGAAATTACAAGGACGCATCCAAAACAGTCGCTCGACACTTTTATCTCCCTAATCATTCTAAACAACATATGGCAATTTGCGGCCTTTCCTTACATCTAGGCAGTTCTAATCACAGTAGAGCATCATGCTTTATAAGATCTCGCATGATCAGTCGACCTCATCGCCTGAAGAAGACTAGCAGTATGCAGTAGAAACGTCGCGATCTACTTCACACGTGACTACATCGTGAGACAAACGGAAAACTTAGCTTTTATTTTTAAAACAGTTGTTTACCAACGTGATAGTAAATCTCCAGCACTTAAGGTTACTTCCCTTCTTCAAAGGCCGAAAAAATCGTTTTTCCTTCCTTCCCATAAGAAAAAAGTTCTGAAGTCTTTAAAAGCACCCGAGTTATTTAGATAAACGTATTTTCAAATAAAAATTATTAAATCAGGAGGGTGTAATGATCTCGTACCTGGGCGAGTCCCCTGGCGGAATATTTGCGGCAATCGCTCGTCTTGGGGCTCGTTTTTCAAGTTATTTGCATATTTTGTTTGCATCGCGCACTTCACAGCAGAATGGTACTCTTTCTCTCTTCTTTGGGCCTGTTTTCTCTCTGTTTTTTTTTTCTTTATACTAGACTTTCTTCCGCTTTTGACTTTTCCATGAGCAAGGATTTTTCCATAAAAGAGCATCCATATTTATATTTGAAGCTCAGAAAATGATTTCCTTCTCCTGATATCATGATTTCAGATAAATTGGCTCACTTCAATTAGTATTGCCTCTGTTGTGGTTTCTGCGGTGGTACTTGAAGCGTATTCGTGGGCTCTGAAATCTTTATTGGGTTTCAAGTACTACAAATACAAGAGTTTTCACTACTTTTGGGCTAAAGACACAAAAATCAAGTTTGAAGACCAGGAAAACACCATGATAGCCATACATGCCTTGATTGTCATATTTACCATCTGTGAGATCATTCTCGCCGTGGCAATTGCTCGGAGCAGTGAAACTGGGCGTCCGTCGCCGCAAGAAAATCAGGTATGTTGCGCTACTCAGAGAAGAGTTATTAACCATTTACACCTTAACATCAGGATACATTTTCTCCATAACATTCTCTATACATTTCCTATGATATTGACAAAGAGAATTTGTTAAACGATTAAGAGCCTCTTTAGTTGCTGATCATTTCCTTTATTCTCATGACCTCAATGTTTGTTTTAGGGATGATACTGATATGAGAAAATAGTTATTAATCAGTCTTAAGGGTTAAAGGGTTAATCGAATAGGGTACTGAAGTCTAAAAGTAAGGGCCCTCACTTCATCTCCCCTTCATCATCCTTTGCTTTCGCACGACTTACTTTGACGTCCATCGTCTTACCTTACCTCCCTTGTCCATTGCCTCCATCCCAGTCGCCCCCGGCCCCCTCCCCCACCTGACCTTCCTCTCTTTCTCTCTTTATTCCTCCCTCACTTTTTCTCTCTCCTGTTCCCTCTCCCTTCTCTCTCCTTCCTTTCCATCTCTCTCCAGTCCTCCCTCTCTTTTTCTCTCTCTTGTTCCCTCTCCCTTCCAAATCCTTTCCTTCCATCTCTCTCCAGTCCTCCCTCCCTTTTCTCCTCTTCCCATACCTCCTTCTTTACTTCTCTTCTTTCATTTCTTCCTCTATTCTTTTCAACCTCTTCTTCTATCCCTCTTTCTTCCATTCCCTTCATTTTTTCTTACCAAATTTCTCCCTCCATTCCTCCGTTTCTTTGTTTCTCCCTTCAATTCTTCTTCTCCTCCACCTTCTCTTTCATCCCTCCCTTCCTTCGTCTCTTTCTCTTTCTCTCTCTGTCTTTCCTCCTTCCCTCCATTTCTCTCCCTCTTCTTCCTTGCCTTTCTTTCTGGCCTTCCTTTCTTTTAGGCCTGTCCCGATTGTGCCTGTAAAATGCTAAAGGGTTGCTCTCTGAACGCCAAAAAGCAGCTAAAAAATTGACAAAAGTTCAAAAATTAAAAAAGTTGCTACCTAATGTTTAAAAAGTGGCCACCTAAATTTCTTGGTATTTTCATACAAACGTTAATTAAAAGCTATATTTTTCGATCTGCGCAGTAATAAACTTGATTTTAAAGAGCTGTTTGCGAAGAAAGGCGGCCTCTAACCATCTATTTCTGAACGGTGTTAACAAGTTTTTGGATTTTTGGCACTTTTTTAGCGAAGTTTTCGTTGTGTTGTTCAGCAAGCAACTTTCAAGCATTTTACGAGCACATCTTCCCTTCTTTCCCCTCAACCATTTTCCCTCCCTTACTATATACTTCTCCTTTCCTTTTTCTCGTTGTTTAACTTGATATTTCTTTCCTCTTTTTTAGGCTGACTATCCGTATCATTATATCGAAAGTGGACAAGTACCTATCCAACTGCAGGCTTTTCCAACACAAGCCATGATGACCATTCCGATCTCTGGAGCCAACTAGGAATGGTAGCTTCCAGCGGCCACAGCGCATGTAGTCACTGAATGTTCGTTTTTTGGAAATATCATATTTAGCTTAAAAGCAATAGTATGAGTGTATAACCAACGATGAAGCTGCGAAAAACGAAACGTAACTGTAACGTAACGCAAATGAATTGTATTCCAACAAGGCTTCAGAAGCTATTATATATTAGAAATAAAGTAGCAAATAGCATGTTATTGAGGAAAAAAAAATGTTGAGCAATAATAATTGCTTAGGGTTAGATCTAGTGCAGGTGACTAAATACTAGTTATCAGGCATTTAATTACACCCTCCCCCCTCCCCCCACCCCCACCCTTCCCCCTTCTCACCACCCCCCCCCCCCCTTCCCACTCAGTTCCATTGCTTTTGTTGTTTTACCTCAGCCAAGGCTTTGCTTTCTTTGATATTTGAATGATACTTGCGGGTTAGCTCTTCCCAGATCAATTCATTGTCAGCGCAGCCTATCTCTTTATTACATAGAACCGCTCGCAGAGGGCAGTCAGTTTTAAATTGCATCTATTATCGTATAAACCGTGGTGTTTTACAAGGATTTCCAGCTCTAAGGAAAACCGTAACAGCACAGGTGAGAACATCCATGATTTTCTCTTTCACCTACCCCTCCCTTGTTACATAACCACGCAAACAGCCGGTAAGGTCCTGCGGAGCCCATTGACATCATCAGTCGTATAAATCGTTGTTTGAGTCTGCCAAAGAATCCAGTGAAATGGCGTCCAACAAACGATACCTTACAATTATCTCGATCGCTCAGCTTGTAATGGCAGGTATCCTCTTCGTTCTCGGAATGGTAGATCATTTTGAGGTTCGCTACATGTATGCCAGTCTTATATTGATGCCAATTTGGATTTCTCTTCTTGTAAGTACAGTATATTTCTCATAAGAGTGCAATTGCAAATTGTAAAGTAGTCTGTGATTGCATTTTCCAGCAGAGGGTTTGGGTCCGGAAAAGATGCATTGATATTGAATCTTGTCGTTCTAACTAAGTATCTAGTCATTACGGTGTTGTAATCTCGTTATTTTGGGACAGGATTTACTTCGAAGCTTAAAGTGAAATGCTGTTCAAATCCCTCATACTACAAATTTCGGGCGAATGTATTACGTAGAATCACATTTCACTGGATAGTCTGAAACCATCAGGATTCATAACCTTTCCACCTGCAAATATCTTGTCTGCAATTCTTTCGATAAGAATACAACCGCACTCTCAAACTGGGTTAGGATATGATGACATAGAAGACGTAGAATACAAAGTTCGCCCTTCAAAAGCGAATCGGTCGTCTGTGACCTGGGAACATTCAACTATTGTTGTTTTTATATGTTGAGGGATCAAAGTAGTTCGAAGATTGAGAAATATATCACAGCACTTCGATAAAACAGTCCGCATCATTCTAAAGTTATCTAGGGATATCTCTCAGTTTTGCTATCGAGTCAACAAAATAAATATTGCGCAGGATGTTTTACACAAGCGGAAGTCGACCAGAAATGCTAATGAGCACATTGCCAGACGAAGGGAACTCGATGATTTGACCCCGAATTTCTCTTTTAGGAACGACTTAAGCTTTTTGTTTAAGACTTGGTCACCTTCCAGATGTCTTAAATACGCTGATGATACTCAACTGTATCTATCGTTCAAACCGAATTCAGATGTAGATCAGCACGATGCTATTACTGCTATGGAACTATGTGTGAAAGCCATACGTAATTGGATGCTGGCAGAAAAACTAAGGTTAAATGATGATAAGACGGAATTTTTGATAATTGGAACCAGACAGTAGTCGACGAAAGTCAAAGTCGACCATCTACCTATTGGTAACGTTAGAGTAACTCCAACAGAGTAAAGAACTTAGGAACATGGTTCTATGCGAACACGAGTCTCACTACACATATTAACAACACATGTAATGCAGCATTTTATTTCTTATATAATTTAAGGCGCATCAGGAAATAACTTTTTAGAGAAACTGCGGAAATATCAGTTTCATGCGTAAGTGATAGGAAGAATAGATTATTATAATCGCCTTCTTTTTGGAGTGCCTGATATTCATTTAAATAACCTGCAAAGAGTTCAAAATACGGCAGCCAGGTTAGTTTGCATTGTTCCTAGATTCTGTCATATAACACCAGTTCTACGTTCTTTGCACTGGTTGCCTGTTAAATTGAGAATTAATTTCAAAATTTTAGTTATTACTTTTTTTATAAGGCTATGTTTGGCTTTGCTTCCAGACAAATTAAATGTCTACAGTCAGTGTATATGACATCTGTCGATCAAATATAGCCGGAAAGCCAACATTTTATAAATTGAAGATGTGAATAAATTTACCACGAATCTACTGCTTCGTTTGTCTCTCTTCCTAATCCTACTTCAATGTCTCCTTCCACTTTACCATTTATTACTAATTTACAATTTTACGACGATCATTCGAAATGCACTTTATCATTTCCGTGCTCATGTCGATTAATCGATGTCCTTCAGGGACTTGTCAGCTGGAATATAGAAATAAGTACCTTCTCAAATAGTAACCCTATTGAAATCAACACTAGTATTAATCGTTTACATTTTATAACTAGTAATCGAGGGGTTGAATATTCTTCTAACTCTTTTTAAGGTCATACCCATTGGCATCATGGGATTGGTTTTAGTCATGAACAGATCTACACCCTCCTCGGCTTTGGTGAGAATTAAAATAGCATAATACTCTTAAATGTCGATCCAGGTAATAGGTGATGTATGTTTGACTGATCTTTTTGGTTTTTGTTTGTTTGTTTGTTTTTTTATTTTTCTTTGCTTCTTCTCGACAACTTTCCCGCCGAGCGTGCCCTTTAAAGAATATTATGGTGTTTGACCGAGAACGTTGTACCTCTAAAATCTTAACGTTTAAAACACGTGTGATTTTACGCCATGAAAACTTAGCTTCCCGTGCCACTGATTATTGCAGATGAGCGGCCTGAGGTCAGTGAGCATTGCATGTGCTGCTGTATCAGTTCTAACCACATTTACCTATGCGATGGCACTCAATAGCGTATTATTCATCAAATATATGGAGGCAAAAACTGAATACCAGGAATCTCCATGGTTTGCCGATAAAGACGTTGAAATCGAGTTCCAGAAAGAGGAAAAAACCATGATAGCTGTACATGTCTTGATTATCATGTGTTCCATCCTCGAAATTATACTTGCCATGGCTAGTGTCCGGACCGCCAAGGCCATGGCTAAGGAGCCACAGGACACTCAGGTTTGTGAAGTTATTCTCTATGCAGTTACTAAATTAGATATGACAACGATAAAAGAACTTATGATCCGAAAGCACCACATCAAAAACTTCATTAATGCATCTTGTTCATTTTCAGCCGGTATTTATTTATTTATTAGAAGGAGAAAATAGGGTGACATTACGTTCTCCCGATGTAAACGATGTTATCTTTGAAAAGATCATTCAAGTACTAGTGTAATTTCTTTGTTTGGCAAACGAGAAATTTTTCAGTTCAGATTTGCGATACGATAGGATTTTAGGGATCGGTCATTGTATGTCACCTTACGGGACTTTGAGGACCGGGGGGTTTTGTTTGTTTGACAATAAAATTTACCTCATCCCCTTCCCCCCCCATCAAAAGGCTCTGGAGTATTTTTGTGATCCCCACCTCCCCTTATTCGCGGTCAATTGTCCACAGACCCCCCCCCCCCTTTATACTCGGTTAACGACGAATGGTCCACCCTCCATTCCCCCTGAAATTCATGTGACCTCCGACCAACCCCAGCGATGAATAACGAACTAAGGGGAATTGGGGAATCGGAAGGTTTTGTTTGTTTTACAATAACAGTTACCTCATTCCCCTCTAAGGCTCTGGAGTATTTTTATGATTCCCCTCCCCCCCCCCCCCCATTGGAGGTCAATTTTCTACAGTTCCCCTTTATACTCTATTAGCGACGACGACTGTTCACTGTTCTCCTCCGTTTACCTCAAATCCAAGTCATCCCTCCGAATTAAAAACCTCCCACCCCTGCCCCCCTCCACCCGTAGGTGATGAATGATGACTATTACCTTACGTAAAATATTTTTCATGATATCTAATCAGCAGGCAAGCGTTGCTTATCGTCTGGTGGCAGAGGAAGATCTCCCTTTGTTATTCTCGAGTTCAGATCAAGAGGCAGCTTAGATGGTATCCGTTCCATACACTGCTGTACAGACCCTGTCCCAATCACACATCACGCTGAATTTCTTTATTAAATCACACATCACGAAGAATGTTTTTAACCAGTCACGCGTCTCGTGAAAAGGAGTAAGTACGCCAAGCTAATACTGTAAGATTTCAACCTATCGGATATATTATCAAAATCATATTGTATCCAACGTTTTTCAGCCTGGAATGAACTGCGTTTCACTTATCATATTGCTTTTTGCCAGACAAATAAAGACGACTTACTGGCTCCGAGACGATTTACTCGGGCTTCGTATCGCAATATCAAATCGTACTTTTCAGGTATTGAACACAGTAAAAACAAATTAAAGAAACAGAATATTTAAAACAAGAGTTAAGCCTACGTATTTACTATTCAAGTGTTCAATCCTCTTCATCCAGTAGCTTGTTGTTGCCTCACCTTCGAAGTTCTTTTCGCAAAGATTTTATACTTTTTCAATTCAACATCTGAGATGTTTGTCTGGGCATCATAGACATCATAGTTTGTTGTTTAATAAGTCAGTAGTCGTTGTTTTGACATTGTTTTCACGGTTTGAACTCAGTTTGAATTCATATATGGCTCACTAGTTATCTCGCTAGTATGAACTTTGCTATGAACTTTGTATGAACTTTGAACTTTCCACTCGTGGCTCCAGGAGTCTTGCGTACGAACTGAGTAGACGTCAACTCCACCTTTACTATTATTTGATACAAGGGCAACCTTTAAGTCAAAGCTTTGCCCAATTCCCTTCTGTGCGCCACTGTCTTTATGTCAGTAAAGGATACAACGTGGCTTTTGAATTCGTTTTGGTCTTTATGGCGACCTTGGAAAAATTTTGTATACCGCTAACTGGTACACAAAATTTTTCCTTGTGTACTGGCTCATTGCTTGCCTTACCATCTTCTCGGACGGCATAAACTGACACCAAAACTCTGACGAGTTTTATCCGTTCAGCCGATTGGGTCGTTTGCGTCGACGTTCTTTGGGATCCTTCATTCGATAGATTTGGATACTTTCTAGTCTTTCTTATTACTTATCACGGAAATCTAATTAGTGAGTCTTGTAAATCACCTGTCACGCGCTTGTAAAATAGCAAATCACGCATTATGTTGTAATGTCCGGTCCGCGTCACGTAGATAATTTGGGTTCAACCACGCGTCACCCTGCAAATTTTGGGGCCATCACGTGTCACGCCAAAACACTTTGCCACCCTCCTCACAGAGAAGCTTCTCAGCTTGAAACGAAATGGAAATCTATCTTAAACTATCTACAACAAGATCAAACCTAGGCACAAAGAGCCACCCGGGATCTACGGCTTACCTTAGATACACATGCCTAACACACCGTTAAGACCAATTGTATCTTGCACCTTTGCTTACGATTTGTCGGCATACCCAGCCAACATCCTGTCCCCCTTGACGGTAGTTACGAAAACGAAGATCTAAGACCCCCCTACGAAAACGAAGACCCATTACGAAAACGAAGACCCATCACGAAAACGAAGACCCATCACGAAAACGAAGACACATTATTAAAACAAGTACAAAGAGGTTGGTATCATCTTGTCCACAAAGGTGATACCAACCTCTTTTGAACTTGTTTTAGTGATGGGTCTTCGTTTTGGTGGGGGTCTTCGTTTTCATAAGGGGTCTTCGTTTTCGTAGGGGGTCTTCGTTTTCGTAATGGATCTTCGTTTTCGTAAGGGGGTCTTAAGTCTTCGTTTTCGGGGTCTTCGTTTTCGTAACTACCCCCCTTGACAAGCAAGTCAAACTACTCAGGTATTAACTCTACGCACTTCGTGTCAAAAATCAGTCACGAGAAAGTACATGATAACGAGGTCATGGTATCTTTTGACGTAGATCGGTCCACATCATGTGTCGACGGTCGAGCCATGAGCGAAGGTCGGAAATCGAGTAGGCTTTCGAGGTGGTTAGAGGCGGACAATCGCACTGATTTTTGGCTTGGTTCTTGTACGTTTATCTACTTCTAACGTGCTCGAAGCTGGGAGGTGAGCGAAATTTGGAAGTGGAAGAAATTCGGCGAAGTTCTGGAGGCTTTCGGCCCAGACGATCCTGGAAGTTGCACGCCTTGTGTTTTTCCCTTGCCTTTGGAGGGGCATCAGTGCATAGTGGGGAATTAACCGTCCCAAAACCCTGCAAAATCACCCCAGACAACACAGAAAAACGAAGGTAAGTGAACTTTATTTATCTGACTGTCATTAAGCGGATTTTGGGGATGAAATGGTACGATTTACAGTATTTATGAACATTTCTCGGGATCACTTGCGTCTTTCCGAGGTCGACCGTATGCAAATTACAAACAACTAATTTGTAAGACAACAAGCGTATCACATAACTGACGTCACGCGGCCTCAAACCCACAGAATTGTCTGTATGTGAGGTCATACGGAGCACGCAAATTCTTAGGGCTGTTGGCGTCATCAGGCGTATAAATTGTAGTCCGCCTCGCGAACTTCTCTATTGTTTCTTTGAGTTTGCCAAGGAATCCAGCAAAATGGCGTCCAACAAACGAGACCTTAAAATTATTTCGATCGCTCAGCTTGTAATGGCAGGTATCCTCTTCGTTCTCGGAATGGTTGACCATTTTGAAGTTCGCTACATGTATGCCAGTCTCATATTGATGCCAATTTGGATTGCTCTTCTTGTAAGTATATTATATTTCTCAAAAGAGTGCAAATACAAAGTACTGTCTAAATTTACATTTTCTAGCAGAGGGTTTAGGTCAGCAAAACATGCAAAGATATTGGATCTTGCTGTTCTAAATAAGCATCTGGTCGTTACGGTGTTCTAATTTCGTTATTTTGGGAGAGGATTTACTTCGAAGCTTAAAGTAAAATCCTGTTCCAATCCCTCATACTACAAATGTCGGGCGAATGTTTTACGTAGAATCACATTTTACTGGATAATCTGAAACCATTAGGATTCACAACCTTCCACCTGCAAATATCTCGTCCGTAATTCTTTCGATAAGAATACAACCGCACTCTCAAATTGGGTCAAAATATGTTGACATTGGAAACGTAGAATACAAAGTTTGCCCTTCAAAAGTGAATCGGTCGTCTGTGACTTGGAAACATTCAACTTTTGCTGTTTTTATATGTTGAGCGATCAAAGTAGTTCGAAGATTGAGAAATATATCACAATACTTCGATAAAACAGTCCGCATCATTCTAAAGTTATATTAGGACTTCTCTCAGTTTTGCTGTGAAGTTAACAAAATAAACATTGCGTAGGATGTTTTACACTCGCGGAAGTCGATCAGAAATGCTAATGATTGCACTGCCAGACGATGGGAACTCGATGATTTGACCTCGAATTTCTCTTTTAAGAACAACCTAAGCTTTTATTTGTAGATAGAAGTTTTCGGAAAAATCTGTCGATGAGAGTATTTTTGGATTCAATGTAAGGCTCCCATACGTCAATTAGGTTGCGTGACATAAGTCACGCTAGCTAAAGGCTTCTGTAAAATGTCTTCTGTAAAATCAAATAAAGCCGGAAAAACAACATTTTACAGAGAATGCTTTTCTTCCACAATAAATTGAAGACATCTGAATAAATTTACAATGAATGTACTTCTTCGTTTGTCTCTCTTCCTAATTCTACTTCATGCCTCCTCCTATTTTAACATTTACCGTAATTTCGATCATTTACCCGCGCGGCAGATTACCCGCCTCGGTCAATTTTTGCAATGGCGTGAAAAAATTTTCAACAGATCACCCGCACTGGCAGATAACCCGCACTTGTAAAAATCTGTTCTAAAAAAATGATATCTCGGGATCTACTGAGTCGGGGAAATCGCTTGAAACGGGAAAACACTCTTTATCTGAAGGCAGTGCTAGCCAAGAAAATTCCACTGATGCTTCGAATATTCTGTCGGGCAGTTTAATCATGCTGCGCCGCGAAATGAACATGTCGGCACATTTTCTGTGTGAATTGCCCTCAAGTCAGCTTTTTGACAATTAACAAAGTTCGCTTCCCGTGTAAGCGAGAATTGTTTTTTGAACTTAACAAAGAATCAAGATAAAACCTTTGTTATCGAGTTTAGATAGATACGTTTTCGATTTGCATCGGCTTTCATCGATAGCATTTTAAAAGTCTCTTATTATAATGAGCAATCTGCGCGAAATAAATGAGTTATCACACAGGTTTTTTGAACTGTATCTATAGTGGATCTTATCATGTCTGTTTTTTTTTTCCTGCTTAAAAGTGATGCTATTGAAATCAACTCCGATATTAATCGTATGTATTCTATGACTACTGATCGAGCAGTTAAATGTTTTTTTCAGGTCATACCCATCGGCATCATGGGATTGGTTTTAACAGTGAACGGGTCCAGACCGTCCTCTGCTTTGGTAAGGATTAAAATAGCATAATACTCTTAAAAGTCGGTCTATGTAGTAAGTGAAGTATGTTTGACTGATTTTTTTTGTTTTTGTTAGTTAGTTTGTTTGTTTTATTATTCTTTGCTTCTTCTCGACAATTTTCCCACCTAGCGTGCCCTTTAAAGAATATTATGGTGTTTGACCGAGAACGTCGTACCTCTAAAATCTTAACGTTTAAAACGCGAGTGATTTTACGCCATGAAAACTTAGCTTCCCCTGCCATTCATTATTGCAGATAATCGGCCTGAGGTCTGTGAGCATTGCATGCGCCGCTCTATCAGTACTAACCATATATACCTATGCGATGGCACTGAACGACATATTGTTCTTCAAATACTTGGAAGCACAAACTGGTAATCACCAGAATTTTAAATGGTTTGCTGATAAAGACGCAGAAATCGAGTTCCAGAAAGAGGAAAAAACCATGATAGCTGTACATGTCTTCATTATCATATGTTCCATCCTCGAAATTATACTTGTCATGGCAAGTGTCCAAACCGGCAAGGCCATGGCTAAGGAGCCACAGGATATCCAGGTTTGTGAAATTACTCCCTATGCAGTTAATAAATTAGATACAACAACGACAAAAGAACTTATGATCTGAAAGGACGACATCCCAAACTTCAGTGATACATCCTGTTCTTTGTCAGCGTTTATTTTAGAAGAAGAATATAAGGGGACATTACCTACTCTTGATGTAAAAGATGTCATCTTTAGAAAGATCATTCAAATACTAGTGCAATTTATTTTTATGCCAAATGCGAAATTTTTCAATTCAGAACTGTATTACTTTGAGAGGATTTCAGCGATTAGTCATTATTTGCCACCTAAGGGGACTTTGGGGACCGGAGGGTTTCTTATTTTTTGTAATGATGTTCATCTCACTCCCCCACTAAGGCTCTGGAGTATATTTATGATCTCCAACCATGCGACCGAAAAAATCAACCGAAAAGCCCTAGTTGGAAGTTACAATAAACAATAAACGTGTCTTAATCTATTAGTGACGACTGACCCCCCCCCTCCGTTCCCCCTCAAAACCAAGTAATCCCTCCGAAAAACCTCCCACCCCTACCCATAACTAACCCCCCCTACGTGATGAGTAACGACTGTTACCTTATGTAAAATATTTTTCATTATATCTAATCAGCAGGCAAGCGTTGCTTATCGTCAAGTGGCAGTGGATGATGTCCCTCTGTTATTCTCGAGTTCAGATCAAGAGGCAGCTTAGATGGTATCAGTTCCATACACTGCTGTACAGAGGGCGACCAGATGCAATCCATTGCTTTTTTAACGCCATGATAGTAAATTAATTGTTAAAACCACAAACCCGAGAATGTTATTAGAAGTAGTTTTAGTAGTATAATATAAGTAGTATTTGAATTTTTATATTTTAATATTAGTTAGTTTTTAATCTAAACTTATATTAAATTTATACATCTTCAAAAGGCTTTATTTTTTTTTCCATTTTTGCTATTTTTTCATTTTGCGTGGTGTACCTGTAAACTATTTTTTTAGCTAAGCATACCGACCACGTTAAATACATCGATTGATTGATTGATTAATCAAAGTAATTTATGTCTTTTCGTGGCCGAAATGTTTGCTAGATATCTTAAGATCAAAATGTACCCGGAAGCTTGAAGAAAGCGTAAAATATAATTAACGAGTAACCTCCACGAATGTAGAAATTTTGTCATCAACTTACGGCTTTAACGCCCCACCCTCCTTCCCAATCCGCCTCCGTCGTTTCGGATCTTTCTTTTTCTCTCTCTGTTACTACTCGTGTAGAATCTTGGGAATATAATACCCTTTACACCCCCATCATCAGTATACATATTCTTGATACTGTTCTATTTACATTTCCTATGGTACGAACAAAAGGTATTTGTTTTACAATAAAGAGCCTCTTTCGTTTGGGATCATTTCCGTTATTCTCGTTGCTTAACTTTTTAGTCAGGGGCGATGCAGCGAGGAGAAAATAGACAGAGAGACAAGTTAATAACTAGTTTGACCCTCACATTGAGGGCTCAAAAAGTTGTCACATAGTGCGAGAAAAAAAAGCTTTACAAATCATACTCGATTTAGTTTAAAACTTTCTTTCCCAAGCCCAAGGGAGTGTTTCCAAATGAATATTTGCTAATTCATTGTAGTTTGCTGTCGGTAATTCTAAAACATCTAAACATTTAAATGACTAAACATGATATCGTTCTCAAAGTCATCTTTGGCCCACACCGGCAATCACTGCGACAAGTCTGGGAAAGAGATATTGTGCATGTTTCACTAATTCAGTTTTAGCTTATAATTAAACGTCACGAAAATATATTAAACTAGACATGACGTTCAGTCGGCTAGAATTGAAAATCATTTCGATAATTCAGCTGGTAATGTCACTTATCCTTTTTGCGTTTATCGTCGCAAAATGTTGAGTAAACTAGGTTGAATACTTTTGCGCGATACCCGTGAGCAAACGTGTGTAATGGTCATACAAAATGACCTTATTTTAAGCAGCAATTGACCCATTAACAAGGATTCCCCATTAGGACCCATGTCATGTTCCCCGGGCACATGTTGAAGCCATGTCAATTAATTGTCCGTCAAGCAATATTCAAGTTACACTAAAACTACGGAGTCGAACATGCCCAAGTTACCGGCTAAAAATCTCTCGAATCTTCATTAGATTTTTACCTCATGGTTCAGGACTTGCATTCTGTCATTCGTGGTCATTCGTGGTCACTCGTGTGTGCTTTTAGACATGATCAGGGGATTAGCCAAGATCCAAGGTTATAACACCTTCCTAATTTACTAACTTTTGTTTGAAAAAACGTTTTTCTAAATAACTCGGGTGTTTTAAATATTTCTGATGGAAACGTTAGGTTGAATGTTTTAATTCAGTTTGGTTAAATAACAGAAAAATCGATATTTGGGCCTCTGAAGGTGGGAAGTAACCTTAAGATCGACGAGGGCGAAGGAAACAGCCATACAAAACTTTGCGAAATCTCCTTGATTAAAAGTCAACAATGTATTCTTCACATGTACAGCACGTTATAAAGTTCATGTCTGGTTCAATCACGTCGCTGACTGTTAGTAAATCGCAAATGGTGTTACTGGAATAGTCCGCTATATTACAATTCCCGATAACCACCCGACTCGGAAACTCGTCACTAGTGCTCCTCGGGCGTACTCTGGCCGGAGAGGCAGAGGGTCCACGCAAATTAGGCTTCAGGCGTATACAACATGATCTCGATACCGAAATAATGATTATCGTTACTTCTTAATTGGCCCTGAAATAATGAATAGCATTATTTCATGGCATGTGTGAGACCTTCGGGCTCGAAGCTTGGGAACCAGTATACAGGCAAAGATAAAATGGCGGCTTACGACGGCGAAGGAAACCTCAGTATTTTAATATTTTAGCGTGAAAAGGCTTGGGTGTTGAGATCTGGTTCTCAAGTAAAAAAAATCACTACCTGCAATGGCTCTACCACCTTTTGAAAAACAAGAAAACATTGAAACGATAGTAAAAAAGCAGCAAGTTTCGAAGTCTAAACGAAAGTTGGGTAAGCTGAGTTTCAGTCAAATATCATGACATTTGGGATATAATTTCGACACCAAATAAATAGCTTTACATGGCTATACACGCAGAGGATTCTGTTGTGTTCACGTGAAGGCCATTTCAGCGATTCCTGCCACTTGTAAGTTGTAGAAAATAAAAATATGCACACTTGTGTCGTATTGAAACCTGTGAAATCACAAATGTGATTTATTTCTTCTTTGTTTTAGGTGGTCATTATCCATCATTTTTGGAAGTCGATGCTGATGAGAAAGAAAAACTGTTTACAGTTATTTCTTCTCTCGAACATTTTACTATTTAGGTACCAAATAATCTTGATACTGAAGATTATTGCATCCTATTATGAAAAATTTACCCCTGATTGCTTTGTCAATATGTATGATGTAATATAGCTTGTGATTTGAGGGATTTTCACAAGTAAACTAGGAATACCTGAAGAGGGTAATGATGTACTTAATGAAGAGCATTTTGGTACAAAGTCTGCTTTGCTCTAATCTAACTGAAAGTGCTTTTTATATGCTAGTAACACTTGCACAGCCCAGTCAAAATGTTTTTTAGTACAGTAGACAAGCTGGCTGTAGTAATTATAGGCAGCAGAGGCCCTCCCCCCTTCCACCCCGTCCCTACGCGATGAATCATGACTATCACCTAACGTAAAATATTGTTCATTACATCTCATAATCAGGCAAGCGTCGCCCATCGTCAAGTGGCATTGGATGGTGTCCCTTTGATAGTCTCGAGTTCAGATCAAGAGGCAGCTTAGATGGTATCATCTCCATACACTGCTGTACAGAGGGCGACCTGATGTTATTCATCGTAATTTCGTGGCCGAGATTTTTTCTAGATATCTGAAGATCAAAATGTACCTCGTAGCTCGTAGTATTAGTAGTATAGTATAAGTAGTATTTGAATTTTTATATTTTAATATAAGTTAGTTTTTAATCTTAACTTATCTTAAATTTATACATCTTCAAAAGGCTTTAATTTTTTTCCATTTTTAATGTTTCTTTTTTTTTTCGTGGCGTACCTGTAAACTAGTTTTTTAGCTAAGCATACCGACCACGTTAAATACATTGATTGATTAATCAAAGTACTTTATGTCATTTCGTGGCCGAGATTTTTGCAAGATGTATGAAGATCAAAATGTACCTCGTAGCTTGAAGAAAGCCTAAACTGTAATCAACGAGTAACTTCCACGGATGTGGAAATGTCGTCATCAACTTTCGACTTTAACGCCTCACCCTCCTTCCCAATCTGCCTCCATCGTTTTGGATCTTTCTCTTTCTCTCTCAATTACTACTCGTGTAGAATCTTGGGAATATAATATCCTTTACACCTTCATCATCAGTACCGGTATACATATTCTTGATACTGTTCCCTTTACATTTCCTATGGTAAGAACAAAGGTAATTTGTTTTACAGTAAAGAGCCTCTTTCGTTTGGGATCATTCTCGTTGCCCAACTGTTTGATTCAAGGGTGAAGCACCGAGGAGAAAATAGACAGTGAGAGAACATGACCGCCGACCAGAAATCGCGGTTTCAACTTTACCGTTTGTCGTTTGCCGTTTGCCGTTTGCAGCTTACCTCCTTTGTGTATTAAGAATCCTGTTAAAATTGAGCATGTGTTTTTCAAGCCAATGTATCGGATTTCACGGTTGTGCCTTAGTTGATGTTCATAGCTCGTAAGGACAAAACTTTTTTCTTGTTAATATTTAAATTTATACGAAATGCAAATTACTGAAAGGCAAACGTGATATAACAAAAACATTCATGCATATAAAAGTTTAGGTGAATAACTAATCCGTAAGATTTTACATCAGAAAATTTATCCTGATAGAATTGTTTTATTTGTGAAAAGAAGAACAGCCAAGAAATGGAAAATTATGGTCTAAGAGCCAACCTTCCAATCAGCAAGAGTTTTTAATCAATATTCAAAATAGAAAATGCATTCGCCTCGAACAAAACGTAATTAACGCCAAGTTACATTAAGGAGTACTCAATCATTTAGAAGACAAGCGATTGTTACGTTAGCCAATCATGTTACTGAGCTATGGAACGTGAGGAAGATTAATTATTAACACAAAAATACGTGTCCAGTTGAAAACTAGATACAAACAAAAACATCAACAATAAACTAGCGGAGGCTTGCTTCGAAGTCATGTTCCGAGAGGAAGAAATTGATGTAGAAACAAATTGTTTGGTACGATGGTTGAATTTAACCCGTGACAAGATGAAAAAAGAAAACGTTTTCAAGGGAGAAGACTTTTGGAAACCATGGGTATCAAGCGATCTGGCATTTCTAGTGGAAGGACAAAGGTTTCATGTCCATCGATGGGTTTTGTCACAGTGTTCACCAGTCTTCGAAAAAATGTTCATATCAAATTTCTCGGAAAAGGACAAAAGAGAAATAGTGATGCCTGGAAAGAAAATAACTGAGTTTCACGATTTGCTATTGATGGTGTATTCACTCGCGGAGCGCTCAATAACGAGCGAAAACTGTTCTTATCTTTTAAAACTCGCCGATGAATACCAAATAGGACTTCTTCTCGAAAAGTGCGAGGATTTTTTAATGGCCTCATCTGGGGAAATTTTCGCGGGTACTTTGAGCTTAAAAGACATTTTTAATGATTTTTTACTTGAGCAATCCGCTTCCAAGAAAGAGCAAGTATTAGCTCTGTTGATTCTCGCACAGGAGTACCACTTGGAAAATCTAATTACGACCTGTGTTTTAGAAGCGCGTAAATTTAGCTTGACGGAATTGAAACAAGATTATAGAGAGCTGTGTGATCTGCTGGAGCCAAAAATTTACTGTGGGATTCTGGAAAGGATCATTGAGCGAATGGAGGACAGATTTGTTGTGTTTTGATATACTCTTCTCAGTCGTCGAGTTCTTGCGAAAGACAAAAAAGTAATCAAAAATTCTCTAACAGAGTTCTCGAGCACCTTAGATGGTTCGCGATCTTTGAGGGAGCTCAATGAACATGATAGGAGGCAGATCCGCGTTAACATACATCGGAGAGTCGCAAGCCTCTTGTGGCTTCTGTCGCTACTTGTTTTTGCGGCTTCGCCGCTCAAAGAATTGGTGCGCACGCAAAACCGCTCGCAAAACCGCTCGCAAAACCGCTCGCAAAACCGCTCGCAAAACCGCCCGCAAAACCGCCCGCAAAACCGCCCGCAAAACCGCCCGCAAAACCGCCCGCAAAACCGCCAGCAAAACCGCTCTCTTAGGACGAAGGTAACTGTCCTCGCACACAGACAACCCAAGCTCACGGTGTGCACTTGAATTGATTAAAAAAGCAATTCAAGAAATACGCAGCCGATACAAGTATATTGAGATACGAGTTTCCAACCTAACAAATAATTTATTTCATCTCCTAAACAACCAGCTTATGACTGCTTGTGTTGAAACAACATCATACCAAGTAGCAACACTTTGTCTCAGGAAAATCTGACACACGAAATGCTGCTGTTTATTTGCTTGTACATATTTGTATCTTGAAGTGATTAAATCTGAACAGTTATAGCTTACTTTTGGTTTTTGTTTGTCGTTAATTTTCGGGACTCAACATTCGTCAAGTCCAACATGGCAAACGTGTAATCCAATAAGATTCTGCCATGCGCGCGTTCAAACGAACAGCTTATGTCGAGAAAATGTACCATAAACTTGAGTCTCCGAAGAAGAGCCGAAGAGTCCCGATTTAAGTCAACTAATTATAACACAGCATAACCTCTCCAATTGCCATCACGTCACGTGTTCCGTTGCTTGTTAACTTTTCCAACAAAATCCGTGTCCTCGACAACTCTCGCTGACAAGATCAAGTACGTAACCTGCCTCAGTTTAATGACACAAAGAGTCCTACTACTGCTCTGGATTCTGGACTCTAAGAACGACTGGCACAGACGTGCAGGGAATCTTTCCTACTTCCGTGATCACCATGGAAACAAAGTGAGGAGGAGTGACGTCGTAGACTAAGTTTAGAAGGTGAAGTGAGTTGACGTCTCGCCAATCAGATAGTACATCCGGGCTTTCTCTGTCTAGAGGAACTAAATCATCCGGGTCACCTAAAAAAAACGAGAAGATTATTAGCCTGGATTGGCCTTTGTCTCTGGCCACTGTCACTTGCAAGTAGGTCCTCGTGTTTGGTTTTCGCCTCCCAGCCCCTTTCCGGCCACAGCCGCCTCGTGTACCATCGGCAGCCGCAATTATAAAAAGGTATTGAAACTCCTGCAGGAGTGAAGAGAAATAAAATCCACTCATAGAGGTTTAAGGGTAAAAAAAAAAAAAAGACGTGTCTATCTCAGACTTGAAGTTCACCTTTCTGAGAAACTTTCATTTACTTACTAAGTTCGTTGGAAACAAAAGAATCTGTTTGAACTCTATCACAGAACTTGTACGTCTCACAGCATACCAGCACTGGGACGTTGGAGGCCTGGGCCATCATCGCCACCATGGAAGAGCCAACACGTGACTTTACGTAGCCATTGGCGAGCAGGGCATGAGCACCAAGAAAGACTTTTGATACCTTCAGAAATCGAATAGAAAAAAACAGAGAGTTAAAATAGCTAATCACCCAACCATCTAACGACTGACATTTCGATCTTGTACATTTAAAATGCACGATAAGAACACAGAAGAACAAAGCGACAAGTAGATCATAATAGGGTGCTTAGACCAATAAATACAATATTTCGACCAGGACGTCAAGTTCCCGCATCATCTTTCATGCAATTTCACCAGATAGCGCTTTAGAAATTTGCTGATCCTAACAATACGTAAGACAACCAAGTCACGTACAATACTGCATATCATATGTATGAACCTAATACACATGTAAGGCCTGCATGTTGCTCTTACGAAGAGTTTAGAAGCTCAGTTTGTAGTGCATCCCAAGGGTAGTTAAACTATTTCCAAAAAATACTAACCTCTTTGATAACGTACGAGATAGCACTGATCAACACGTAGGAGCATCTGATTCCTTCTTTCACCAACCTCCTTAGACATTCTCGTCCTAACAAGAGAGAAACAAGTGGCAGTGTGAAAAGGTGTTGAGACTTAATGACGCATGTGCAATCAGGGAGGGCCCAATAATAAGCGCTCGTCTCCCACCGCAGTGACCTGGGTCCGATTATTGGGCTTCTCGTCACGTTTAAATGAGTTACAAGTACATGTAAAAGTTCATTCTGAATAAATTGAGCAGTGAGTCTTAGTCAATTCTCAAAAAAGTTCAAGCCACTGCTGTGAGCAAACCTCACCTTCAAACTTTGGTCTCGAATCAACAACCACCACTCGGAATTTTTTCCCAGCATTATGCGCATCTTTTAAAATCTTCAACACCAACGAGGAACTAAAAAACAAATTTCAAGAGAAATTTCTCCTCATTAAAGTTCTCCTCATTATCTTTGCTTGGGAAATAGACTATACAGGGAAGAATCCCTTCGTAGACATTCTGCAGTGAGCGTGATGAGAAATCTTTTGAAGTTTATAGGAAGGAAAAAATTTTTGCAAACCAATATAATGTTGGTTTCTGACCGAAGAACCGTAACCAGATCGCCAATTTTGACCCCTTCAGCCTTCTTCTTTCAAGAGTGACAAATGAGTAATTTTCCTTATAGTACCAATGCATCACGATTATCAAACAGACAGGTGACAATTATCAAAAATAATACCCGCTGGGGTTATGATAAGATCTGGCACTAAATTCTGTGAAGTTGAGTTATTATTATAGCAAAAATATGGCTATCAGTGTGAAGAAATTACGATGACTGATTCTGGGAGTACAAACATTCCTTACAGCTTTTTCGAGTGGATGAAAAATTTACAGATGCTCTTAGAGAGCCTGGTAACTCAAGTCAGCTATAGAAAAATTCAGCCATACCAAGCATATGTGAGTATCACATCACCATCATTGATCTTGGTTCTTGCATATGACTCAGAGATGGCTACACCAGCCAAAATAATTTTTTCTTGGATAAACTTATCAATACTCTGGATAAGATTCCTCTTTGCCTATACCAGAAAAAAAAACAGGATGATTTCAAATGTGATATAATCTGAAGTGAGTTTTATCCAACAGGTTTTGTGTGTGCAAATAACTTGACCCGTTATGATTTTCTACTCGTAGTAACCTTTCAGCAATGTTAGTAAATTATATACATGTATGACAAGTTTGTTTCAGTAAAAAGGAAGAAATCAAGAATTTAATTTTTCATGCTGCAAGAGGGTTAAATTGTCTAGAGAGAGAGAGATAGCATAGAATACAGGAGTCTAACCCAAACACACAGTGTGATATACATGTAATCTTGCCCATTCCTTCTCTGACACCTGAATTGTCATGATCACAGACCAACAGACAAACAGACAGGCAGACAAACAGACAGGCAGACAAACAGACAGGCAGACAAACAGACAGGCAGACAAACAGAAAGGCAGACAAACAGACAGGCAGACAAACAGACAGGCAGACAAACAGACAGGCAGACAAACAGACAGGCAGACAAACAGACAGGCAGACAAACAGACAGGCAGACAAACAGACAGGCAGACAGACAGACAGACAAACAGACAGACAAACAGACAGGCAGACAAACAGACAGGCAGACAAACAGACAGGCAGACAAACAGACAGACAGACAAACAGACAGGCAGACAAACAGACAGGCAGACAAACAGACAGGCAGACAAACAGACAGGCAGACAAACAGACAGGCAGACAAACAGACAGGCAGACAAACAGACAGGCAGACAAACAGACAGACAGACAAACAGACAGACAAACAGACAGGCAGACAAACAGACAGGCAGACAAACAGACAGACAGACAAACAGACAGGCAGACAAACAGACAGGCAGACAAACAGACAGGCAGACAAACAGACAGGCAGACAAACAGACAGACAGACAAACAGACAGACAAACAGACAGGCAGACAAACAGACAGGCAGACAAACAGACAGGCAGACAAACAGACAGACAGACAAACAGACAGGCAGACAAACAGACAGGCAGACAAACAGACAGGCAGACAAACAGACAGGCAGACAAACAGACAGGCAGACAAACAGACAGGCAGACAAACAGACAGGCAGACAAACAGACAGACAGACAAACAGACAGGCAGACAAACAGACAGGCAGACAAACAGACAGGCAGACAAACAGACAGGCAGACAAACAGACAGAAAGAGAGGTATCCAGCCTCTTAAAGTTGATTCACCCCAGGAGGGGTGAGCCCTAAGACTGAACCAAGTGGCCCCTCTCTGCCTGAGCTTATCTCCATTTCCCACTACAGTTAACAACCTAACATCCCAGTGAATTTCCCTTACAGTTCTCCTGGGTGCAGAGGGGCATTTTAAAGAGTGAAGAGCTTTACCCAAGAACACAATACAATGATGCATTCAGTTCTCAAACCCTGACCTCTCAACTTAGTGTCCTGCATGTTAGCCAGAACTGGCCACATATCTCTCACAAAGTCTCCTACAAATTTACCTGATCTTCTGCCATGTTTGGTGGAGTGTGAGTGATCTGTAGCTTCAGATATTTGATGGCATTACCCATGCTGACTGACAGAGGCCGGCACTGTGTCAAGAAACTAAAAAGAAACAAAATATAAAATTAAAAAAAGATTGTTGATAATTAAAAATGCTGCACGATACACAAGCCATCATGTTCTGTAATGGTCTTTCTTCCAGGCCTAACATAAAACATATGTCAATCAAAAAAGTGAAAATTGTGTATGAAAAAAATAGTAATAATTACCTTATATTTGGTTTAATTTTTGCATCCAGGTCCCTGCAGAGTTCTTTTTGAGGGGGAGTAACATAGTCAGCAATTAGCTGTTGAAAATAAAGTGACAAAAAATTAATTCAATGATTTGATAATATCTCTTACATATGCTGTCAGCTGAGAAAAAAGAGTTTACAGCATAACCAGTCACATATATACACTGTACATTGTAAATGCACACATCAGTTACATCAATAACACTCAAGTTATCAGTTCATGTTGTCAAAGTACCTTTTTGAAAGCCAGAAGTAAAGCCACACATCTTGCATTCGATCCACAAATTATTCCTTTAGCATACTGCACACCAAGTTTGATGACAGCTGGGTGAATGGGGGTACTCCCTGATCCCCCAAAACTTTATATGCAGAATGAAAATTTAAAAAAAAAAAGATAGTTGTGTTTAAAACCTCACAGTGCAAAGTAGTAGTGTCCTGAATGGGGTTGGCAGTGGCCAGCTGTTTGCACATGCAACCAATGAATAAAGGGGGTAAATTTCTGGAGAAACTCTGGTGTTGCATCTTGAGCGAGGAGAAGGAGGGTGTTTCAATACAATTTGGTTTTATTAACTGAGTTGATAAATAAATATGAATTAGATTATGATTAAATATGAATAAAGCTGACATTTTGAGAAGCATTAACCCTTTGTCAGAGCAACAATGAAGGAATAAAGCTTGAAATG